TCAGCAGCTCAGCACACCCAGGCTTTTGGGGTTGGGACCACCCGAAGGTGAATGACAGACCTCAGCGTGCCCACTCAAGGTGAATACAGACCAGTCTGTTTCAGCACAGCCACAGCTGTAACCATTGTGTGGAAGGACTCTGCTATGCTGTTAGAGCTACATAAATAATACAATAATTATTACTTTTAATTAATTGGAAGGTGCTGCCTGTTGACTCTGCAATAAACATATTCAAAGCTAATAAACATCCCAGTGATTATTTAGCTCATGATTCATTTACAGTGCCACATCCACGGGAAGATCTCTCACATTCTGGAACAGGCTGCCCAGGGAGGGTGTGGAGTCTCCTTCTCTGGAGACATTCAAGACCCGCCTGGACGCCTGCCTGTGTGATCTCATTTAGGATCCTGCTTTGGCAGGGGGATTGGACTGGGTGATCTCTTGAGGGCCCTTCCAATCCCTGACATTCTGTGATTCTGTAATTCTCATACAAAATAAACTCCAAGACAGCCCCCTGCTCTGCCACCCCAGCCCGATAACACCCCTGTCCCCAGCGAGAAAAACCTCGTCCCTTTTTACATGCGTCAAGTGTAACGAATGTGCTTCTGCTGAGGAACAAGCTGCGCATGTGTCAGGGCAGCTTCATCATTCATCTGCAAACTCCAGTTGGGCTCAGGCAGATGGGAGATGGCCATTAGCAATCATACATTAAATATGTGCTGCATTAACCCGCGCTGCTCCCGCTGCCACTGCTCCCAACCCGCTCGCTGCAGGTGTGTTAAGCTGATGGAGTCACACAGAGCGAAGCCCCAGCCCCACACAGTTGTAGGGTTGGGAAGGTTTTGGAGCCATGAGGGTGGGATGAGCAGCCAGCCCCACATCGGGATGCAGAGATGGGAGCAGGATCAGGAGGTGACTGTGCAATGCTCCAGCTGGATGGGAACACACCAACAGAAGGCAAAAGATCATGAAAAAATATATTTCCCTTTCCCAAAATGAAAGCTAATGCAAAAAGCTTTATAAGGACTTTTTATAAGGGCAGTTAGTGAGAGAACAAGGGGTGATGGCTTTAAACTGGAAGAGGGGAGGTTTAGATGAGATATTAGGAAGAAATTCTTTGCTGTGAGGGTGGAGAGACACCGGCCCAGGTTGGCCAGAGAAGCTGTGGCTGCTCCTCCCTGGAAGTGTTGAAGGCCAGGCTGGATGAGGCTTTGAGCAACCTGGTCTAGTGGAAGGTGTCCCTGCTGCTGGCAGGGGGGTTGGAACTGGATGAGCTTTAAGGTCCCTTCCAACCCAAACCATTCTGGGATTCTGTGAAATACCCTCTTTGGTAAGAGATGGAGAGCAATGGTGGAATGACAGTTTACCCAATTCATACACATTTAGTCTTGAAATTAGACTGCTCGTGGCCCAGAGCTCTCAGCCATGTGGGAAGGAGCCCAAGGGCTGCTGGGGTGGTCTCTTCCACATCAGGCAATCCCTCTTCCAAGGTGGCAGCTTCAAAAAATGGAAGGTCCAAAGGTTCCCACAGCCGGAGAGCTCAATGGAGCCTGCAGATGGAGGTCCAGGCCAGGGCGAGCATCTTGCAACCAAAGCTTATGAACTGTCACCAAGAAATGAATCCAAGAATTCATGAGAATGACACAAAGCTTGTTAATAAAGAAGGAAAACAAAAAAAAAGGCAAAGAAAAAAAAGTAATCAGGCAGAGATTTAGATGCCTGCAGGAAAATTCCTTTCAAACGTACAGATGCTCAGGGCTGAGTTTTTTCGGTGGCTGACAGGTTGATATAAGAAGAAGGAGGTGTGAATGAGAACAGCCCCGGCACTGACTTCGCTCTGCTGGCTCCAGAATTCATTGCAGTCCCTTTATTTCAATAATATCACCTCTTCTAGGTAAAACTGCAGCAATAACCTCTACTCTTAAAGACACTAGTATTAATATTTATCATGAATAAAACATGGGAAGTTATAAATAATTCAGTTATGAGGATGTTAAGTAAAATATTACTCTTCAATGACCCTATAAATGTGGCTTTGAAGCACAGTTTTATGTTAAATGCCTAGGAAACACTGTGACCCTTGCCAAGACCAGCTGCTTTGCAGAAGATGCATTAAAAATTCATGCACCAAGCTACAAAATGCTATTTTAAACACAGCTTTATGAGTTTATTTACAGTTGCAGAGACAAAAGCTTTTGTAGCATCTCCTGTAAAACACACAGCAACAAAACTTGGAAGGCGAGTGATTCGCTGGGATGTTGTTTTCAGCCTGGAAATAAATCACTGGGTGTAAGGAGAGGAGAGGGATAGGAGCATCGCTTGGAGGGGCTGAATCTCTGCTGACCCACGTGAGATTGTTCTCTATGTCCCAACTGACTGTAACAAACTCCTACAGAGGAGTGCTTGCTCCTTGTCTTGCAGCAGCAAACACCAGGACCCCCGTTATCAGCTGAGCTTTCCTGTTTCAGCCACCACGGAGAAGAGCTGCACACCAGCTTGGGTGGGGTTGGCCAGCAGCCAAGGAGCTGCATCTCATTTCTATGCTAATGGCCACCATCATTTTAAAAATAAATACATGCAATCACAATATTCATCCCTGAGCTCCTAAGAGGGGAGGGACCCTCTAATCCATCTGCCTGTGGTCTCTGTCATCCAGCAATGCAGCATCTGCATGCCAATGGAGGGACCGGTGCTGCCACCAGCCCCTTTTTGCTGTCATCAGATGGGGTGAGTGTCAGCCTCTTCCCATTAAACTTCTCCCTGCCATCTCCATGTGTAGAATGGTGCTGTCCACACACACAGTGAGCGTAGGGTAGTCATCAAACCATAAAAGCAACCGAAATCATACTCATTGCTCCATACTGATGCTCCAAGCCACGGTGTCTCAGAGCTTCTGCTATCATCACTCCTGGATTTTGGCCACGATACACACAGATCAGCACAGGGCAGGGAAAGACAAAACAAACGGGGCTCACAGCAGGTGGAGAATGGTCCTAGCAGCCCTCCCACGCTGAAGGCACAGGTACACCTTCTCCCAAAGATGTTGACCAAGGCTAGATTCAGGTTGAGTTGTCTACAACCACACTAACGCATAAGGGAGAAGAATTACTCTTCATCTCTTCTTCCTCCATGTTGTACTATGGAGGACGTCAACTAGGATGAGGTTGGACTACCTCATCCAAGGTAGGTGAGGCTCTTCCCTAAGGAGGGTGAGGCTCTTCATAGAATCATAGAATGGTTTGGGTGGGAAGGGACCTTAAAGATCATCCAGTCCCAACCCCCCTGCCATCAGCAGGGACACCTTCCACTAGACCAGGTTGCTCAAAGCCTCATCCAGCCTGGCCTTGAACACTTCCAGGGAGGAGCAGCCACAACTTCCTTGGGCAACCTGTTCCAGTGTCTGACCACCCTCACAGTGAAGAACTTCTTCCTAATATCTAATCTAAACCTCCCCTCTTTCAGCTTAAACCCATTTCCCCTTGTTTTGTCATTAACTGTCTCTTCCCTAAACAGAACTCATGGTTGGGATCTCCCACCACCTAACCCTCTCCAGGATGTGGTTCCAAAAGGTACATCCTATAGACACGGTGCAGGTGAGCAGCAACCCTTATCCTCACCCATATTCACAGAGGATTTTGTTCTGACAAACAAATTTGCTGGATCTCCCCTAATCAAAGTGCAAACACTCTCTCCATCCTAACAGGCCCCGTGGAAAGGCCAACGGAATAAAAATGAAAATAGGTATCGAGTGAAATTTTCTTTACTCTGTGAAAAACTAAATTGAAACCATTAGTGGCCAATCCTTTTTTGCTCAGTACAGCATTAGTGCTAAGCTGGAGATTGACCTAGATTTGATATAGAAAAAGAAAACATTAACTTGGTATGTCAAAGCAAATCCCAGGCTTGTTAGAATCATTAAAACACAAACATTATTATCAACTGCAGGCACCAGGGGAGGAAGAAGACTTGAAAGGTTCAGGGCCAAGCCTGGTGTCAGGAGAATATTTGGGAAGTCCAGCTAGTTCTGCAATCACACTGCTCTTTGCTTTTAAATTACGTACAGGGAAGCAGATAGCCAGGTTGGATCTGACACAAGAGGATGCTGGGGAGGAGCTGAGCATCCTTACCATCACTGACACCAGGCACTCCACAAACGACAGTCCACAAGCAAAGACACTTTCTCCACGTTTCTGCCACCAACCTGTTAAACTCAGACCTCTTCCAACAGAGGCACATGGTTAAAATGCCTCAAAGTTGACACAGTATGAGGAACAAGGGTTTAATGGGGACACACCTGGGCTCCCCATTAAACAAGGGGAGGCAAGCTTCGTTAGCTCCATTACAACTGATGAAGG